AAAGAAAGAAAGAAAGAAAGAAAGAAAGAAAGAAAGAAAGAAAGAGAGAGAGAAAGAAAGAAAGAAAGAGAAAAGAAAGAAAAAGAAAGGAAGGAAGGAGGGAAGGGAGGGAGGAGAAGAAATTAGAACTGTTAATAAATATATTGATATATCAAAAGACATACTAGGGTATAATTGATTTCCTTCATCCCACACTTAACACATCCCATTCTTGCTGTCATAAGAAGCTCAGTCTGGAATTATTTCTCCAACTGCAAGTGCACTTGAGATTCTAGAGTGTTTCAGATGGAGCTTGCTTGTCTTGTTCTTTTCCTACTAGAGAAATTACAGGCTACGGGAGATGTGCAGTATGTCAGGACTGGGACGGATCTAACAAGAACTTAATAACTCAATCACAAATGTGTGGTTGCCCTATGTGGAGGCTGCTTTTACTGTCCTTTGAGTCATAAAAAATACCAGCTCCCCATTCTCAAGTGAACGGTTTATAGGCGTTGATTTACACAAACACTGGTCTATTAAATATGAGCCCAGAAGATTTGGGGAATTCAGAGACATGCAAACTGGATGTGGGAGGGGAAGTGAGTCTTACACCAAGAGGCAAAAGGGCGATTTCTCTACAAGCAATGCCAGTCGAGTCTCTGGCAAGTGAAGGGCACTTTGCTAAAAATCAGGACTGTGGAAGAGAGGGGAGATGCTCTTGTAAATGGAAATGTTTCCTTGTTCGTAAGCAAATCTTTTCTAGTTCTCTCTCAGTGCAGGTGGCCACGCGCCATGCTGAGACATCACACACACTACTCAATAATGGAGACATCGAAATGCAAAATTATTCTGGTGAATTTTCCGGAATAAATTATTGAAGATCATGGAGAAGAGTATTTGGCTTTTGTGGACAAGACGGAGAGAGAGAGAGAGATTGGAGACACCTGACGATGACGATGGTTTCCTTTGTCTTTGGTGAAGAGAAGATAAACAAGGCAGAAGGAGGCGAGGAGATGTGGAAGGAGAAAGACCTGCAGGTTGGTATTTGGACACAAAGAGGTCGTTTTAGCGACACCAATATCCTTTAGGGCTTGCAGTGGTGGCTCTCAGGCACAGCACAGAACTGCTCCTGTTGCCTGGATGCTGCGAGCCACCAGCCCGCTCTGCCCCGGGAGGTGTCGTAAATGTGTTTTATGTGTTGTGTTGCCTTCTGCAGCCTCGTCATCTCCCGGCTGTTGTCATCTCCTAATTGTACAGAACAAAAACCCACGTCCGACCAGAGCGACGAGTGAAATTACCCACCTGACCCTCACCTCTCTGATGGGCTTCACTTTCAGAAGCTTGCCCAATCCCATAGGTTGGATCCGGAGACCATTTTTGTAGCGACATTGATGCCTTTTTTCCAGTCTCACAGGGGAATTTTCCAATTACACACACAAAAATAAAAGCCACAAACCTGACAGCGGTAGGAGGAGGTTCCAGAACAATTGCTGAGACACCAAAAGCGGCTTCTCATTAAAGGTGAGATTTAGTGCAGAAGTTTAAACTGGGAACTTGCAAGAGAAGGTCGGTGCTGCAAGCTCTGTCATACTTATTCCTACCTGAGACAAAGCATCGAATGGGCCACTAGGGATGCCAGGAGCATGTGTGACCCAATGCCCGTCTTGCCGACTCAGGAAACTGCACCCATTTGAGGCCACCCATAGCAAACTTCCTCCTGCACCTCTCTGAGGCTTTCCTTGGTATATTCCCTCCTCAAAACCCACTCTCTCTTTCTTATTTATTGTTTTTTATTTTATTATTATTATTTTTGAGATGAAGTATTGCTCTGTGGCCAGACTGGAGTGCAGTGGCATGATCTCAGCTCACTGCAACCTCTGCCTCCCAGGCTCATGCGGTTCTCCTGCCTCAGCCTCCCAAATAGCTAGGACTACACATGTGTGCCACCACACCTGTCTCTACTAAATACTAAAATTTTTTGTATTTTAGTAGAGACAGGGTTTCACCATGTTGGCCAGGATGGTCTCGATCTGCTGACCTCATGATCCGCCCCTCCTTGGCCTCCCAAAGTGCTGGGATTACAGGCGTGAGCCACCGTGCTCAGCTTATTTTATTTTTTTGAGACAGGGTCTTACTCTACCAGGCTGGAGTGCAGTAGCACAGTCATAGCTCACCGCAGTCTTGAACTCCTGGGCTCAAGTGATCCTCCTGCCTCTATCTCCAGAGTAGCTGGGACTACAGGTGTGCATCACCACGTCCAAAGGTTCACTGTCTCCTCTGAGCGCTTAGAGCAGGTGTTTGGTTTCACCTACCAGATCCTTAGTCCAGGCTGTCCATCCTCATGCTGCGGGGTGCTGACTGCTCAGTCGACCGCATCTCTTTCAGGGCAGCAATCCTGTCTTCCCGACATCACTGATTTCAGCAATTTAAATTGTCTTGATTATGTTGATTTCTTAAGGGTTATTTTAAAATGTGATGAAATATTTTATCTTTACATAACTCTATTTTATTTTCATAAAGACAGGGTCTCGCTATGTTGCCCAGGCTGGTCGTGAACTCTTGGGCTCAAGTGATCCTCCCACCTTGGCCTCCCGAAGTGCTGGGACTACAAGCATGAGCCACCACACTCAGCCTTTTACATGACTTTATGTAAATAAATGAACAAATCAACAAGAACCGTTTTCTAGAAACATGTGACTATTTTTACTCTGAAAACATGATCACCATACATTTCTTTCTTTGACAAATTATTCTTGATGCCTGCTGGGTATCTGACACATCTAGAAGGGATGAACAAAATAGACACATCTTCACTGCCTTAATGGAGTTCACAGTCCGGGCAGGGAGGCAATCCAATAAGAAAACAAATAGGACATATTAAAAAAGCAAGGGTTCGGGCTTTTAAAATTGGCTTTGGAGCCAGATAAACCCTTGTTCAGATTTTGAATCTACTGTTTACTAGCACTGTGACTTGAACACGTGACTTAATCTCGCTCTCTTTCGGTTTCCTCGCTGGTAAATTGACAATAGCAATAGCATTTTTCATAGCTACCTGGAATGAGGATTAGATAAAATAAAGTAAAGCCTTTAGAACAGTGCCTGACACAGAGTGATGTCTTAGTAAACAACAGCTTCTGTGATTATTATTAATAAAGTTATCTTTTAAGACATCATCTCCAACCATGTCTAATGAATTGCCACTCAATATTTGGTTCTCTGAAAAAAACTACACATATATATGAATTAAAACTAAACAACAAACAAAACACCTGACTTCCGTTCTAGGCTGGACAGTCTGATCAGCGCCTCAAGGATAAGCACTGCTAGAAATTCTCACATTCACTTTCAGTATCTCTGGATGTTTCCGAGTGAATGTCTCATTCTTTTTCTTTTTCTTTTTTTTGAGATGGAGTCTTATTCTGTCCCCCAGGCTGGAGTGCAGTGGCATAATCTCAGCTCACAGCAACCTCCACCTCCCAGGTTCAAACCGTTCTCCTGTCTCAGCCTCCCAAGTAGCTGGGACTATAGGCACGTGCCACCACGCCCAGCTAATTTTTGCATTTTTAGTAGAGACGGGCTTTCATCATGTTGGCCTGGCTGGACTCAAAGTCCTGACCTGAGGCAACCCCCCGGCCTTGGCTTCCCATGTGCTGGGATTACAGGTGTGAGCTACTGTGTGACTGGCCTTTTTTTTTTTATCCAGGAAAAAAAATGAGAATTTTATCAGCAGCCTCAATCAAGACCAGCCCTTTGCCTGGCACGGTGGCTCATGCCTGCAATGCCAGCACTTCGGGAGGCTGAGGTGGGTAGATCACAAGGTCAGGGGTTCAAGACCAGCCTAGCCAATATGGTGACACTCCGTCTCTACTAAAAACATAAAAATTAGCCAGGTGTGGTGGCGTGTGCCTGTACTCCCAGCTACTTGGGAGGCTTAGGCAGGAGAATTGCTTGAACCCGGGAGGCGGAGGTTTCAATGAGCCAAAATTGTGTCACTGCACTACAGCCTGGCGGGCAGAGCAAGACTCCTTCTCAAAAAAGAAAAAGAAAAAAACAGCTCTGAAATGTGCATGGAAAACCAAGAATAGAAATCAAGCTCAAAGGGCACCCAGAAACTGACTCAGAAAACCCTAATGGTCTCGTGTGTGCACAGTCAGTGTTCATAAACTGATAACTGCACTATTTCTATTGGCCTCCAGGTATAAAAAATGGATGCAAAATGTCACAAGAGAACATTTGAGAGTGTTTAGAGATTTTCTTTTCACAAGGTTAAGAACAAAAAGTTGGTATTTTTGTACCGCTTCTTTCATCTCTCTTTAGTTTGTTTTGAAGTTAGGACTTGAAGTCCAAGAACAAACACCCATTAATGCCCCCGAGCGGGTCATCGTATTCCTGTGAGACACTGCCATCTAGTGGCCAATGTGAACACAACAGTGGGTGGCTAGGCCTCTTTGTCCCTCAAACTCGAGGTTTTATTGTGCAAACCTATGAGATTTCCTCTTGCCAGTACTCCCACTGATTATATTGCCAGTAGCTTCTAGGCCCTTAAACGAATGTTTTCTTTTCTCAATATGAAGAGCACAAATGAGCTATAATAAAAACCATAATCTACTTGGGTTGAAGAACTAAGTATTTTTTATATTTGGAAAAATGATATTTGGATAGAAGGGAAACCCAGCGGCATGGTGGCGCGTGCCTGTAATCCCAGCTACTCAGGAGGCTGAGGCAGCAGAATTGCCTGAACCCAGGAGGCCGAGGTTGCGGTGAGCCAACATCGCGCCATTGCACTCCAGCCTGGGTAACACGAGCGAAACTCCATCTCAAAAAAAAAAAAAAAAAGAAGGGAAACCCAGCTATTTAATTTGTAAACAGTGAAAGTGGGAGGACAAATCTACTATTTTGAGATTTGAGGGGAAAGCATGTATTGTGTGGATTCTGTGTCTTAACAGTAATAGCAAATAATATTGAAGACATACTATGTGATCAATGCAGAATAGATCATTTACTATATGTATGTAAGGAATGATGGGAGCTTCATATACATTATTTCATACAGTCCTCACAATGGCACTGCAAGCTCTATTCGCCCCCACCTAGCAGCTCAAACAGATGAAACTTACACAGCTAGTAAGTGACAATTCAATATCAAGACTATATGTTCCTGAAAGCAGATACCCTGCAGTCCTGTGGACTGCTGTTTTCTTAGCTAGTATCTGGCACATAATGACTGTTCAATACGTATTTATGAATGAATGAGCGCATGAAGAAATGAATGAATCCTGGCTGGGTGTGGTGGCTCACGCCTGTAATCCCAACACTTTGGGAGGCTGAGATGGGTAAATCACCTTAGGTCAGGAGTTCAAGACCAGCCTGGACAACATGGTGAAACCCTGTCTCTACTGAAAATGTAAAAATTAGCCAGGTGTGGTGGTGGGTGCCTGTAATCCCAGCTACTCAGGAGGCTGAGGCAGAAGAATTGCTTGAACTCAGGAGGTGGAGGTTGCAGTGAGCTGAGGTCAGGCCATTGCACTCCAGCCTGGGCAACAAGAGTGAAACTCCAAAAAAACAGAAAGAAGAAAGAAAGAAAGAAAGAAAGAAAGAAAGAAAGAAAGAAAGAAAGAAAGAAGAAAGAAAGAAAGAAAGAAAGAAAGAAAGAAAGAAAGAAAGAAAGAAAGAAAAAGAAAGAAAGAAAGAAAGAAAGAAAGAAAAAGAAAGAAAGAAAGAAAGGAAGGAAGGAAGGAAGGAAGGAAGGAAGGAAGGAAAGAAAGAAAGAAAGAAAGAAAGAAAGAAAGAAAGAAAGAAAGAA